TAGACCAACGTGTATTCCAAACTGGCTTAATTACATTCTACTCGGCCATTCCAGCAGCCAAGTTACTTTCTTTTGCAGAAGACAAAGACCTAAAACTTAATATACGCTCATTGACTGCCGTTGAACCTAAAAAAAACTTTAAGATAAAAATTTTCTATCCCTAGAGCAAGTAATAGGCGCTGTTCTTATTTGTACAACAAATATTGATCCCTGGTCTTGAGGCGGAAAGAAGTCACTGAGCACGCATCAGTAAGTGCCAAAATAGTTAAAAGGTTTCAGAAGTGCTATGAAAGTTATGTGTGACAAACTCAACATGAAGAATACAAATTTTCAATAAAAAAGAATGCAACATTTAAGGTTTCTGTTCTTTACTTTTAAACATTTGTATATCAGAACCACTCATGCGAATTAGTCCCTTAATGCACGCAAGCAAACGACTGTAAAGTAAATTTTGCATGTAACAGCAACGCTTTAATTATGTAATTAATATTTCTTTAGAAATCCTCGAAAACCGATGATGGTTGAAGAGAACTTTATAAACCTAATGGGCATACATATTAAATTGTTCTCTTAGATAGCAATTCTTTCCTTCCCTTTTTTCGCCACGAAACGACGCAGTTACCTTCGTTCTATCAGCTAACACCCCGGAAGTAACCGGTAGCCTAAAATTATACATCGAATTCCTCCTCAACTAAATGTAATGTGAAAGTTTATAGTATAATGATTATTTTATTTTATGCTTCTAACCTAAATTTTCAGCCTATCTCATCAGAACTAAAATGCAATTTTTTACTCATAACCATGTTTCAACTACTTATTAGTTTTGTCAACCTCTCTGACTTGATTGTTAGAATTCAAATAGTTGTGTTATTCAAAAAAATGAAGAATTTGTCCCCCCACTTTGTTACCTTTGAAAAACCTATGAAAATTGGAAATCCTGTATATGAATGCACCAAAACTGTTCAAAATTTGTAAACTGCAAAATTGTATATAAATGTAATTTCTTCCTTTCGTTTCGCATCGTCGTATAGTATTGCAAAAAAAATATCTTTGTTTTTCTTTTTTATACGTTTTCCACCGTGAATCTAAGTGTGAAAATAGTCTGTTTACAATTAAAACAATTAAAATATGAGATCAGTTTCCGAAACAAGTACCTCAAAATATGTCAACTGTTTTAGTAGTACTATTGTTAGCGTTATTCCTAAAAGCGGATTAACTGATTGTACCAGTTCTGATCCTACACTGCCAGCTACTTTTCATCTTCTTCCTGCTTCAGTTATATTCCTTCTATAATCTTTTTTTTGCTTTGCCTTACTGACTGTACTCAATTTTGTGTTCCAGTCATTCACCAGCACAGTAAAATACTCAGTAACCAACTACTCTTAGTGATCTTCAATCAGATTCCTCGTCCGAAGACGAGGTTCCAAAAATTAATGTACACTCATAAATTGTCCTTCTGCACGGAAATCTTTAGTAAAAGGCGAAAGATTTTCTCGACTAAATGCAGAAGAACAAGAGACATTGGTCACCTCGGGAAAGCACTATAGTTAGTAGGTTCTTTTTAACTTTTGACGGGTTTGTACGCACTTTGTTTATGAGGAATATATTTGTTTTCTTGGACCAAATTCAAATGGTTGGTTAGCGAATAGACCTAACTAATAGACAAAAAAATGTGAAAAGGACCACTTCACCGAATGTACGCGCCAACGTCGGCAAACGCAACTTCGCTGATACACAAAAAATTTCCGCGCTGCGCGAAACCGGCGCAGTTCAAAGAAATTCCAGAGTATCTATGCTTTTTCCCGATGTTATTTTACTTAAACTTTGTTACTTCAGCCTGTTTTACTTCCATATTTCAGGACCTTTAGCACCCCACACATTGGATTTTTTTCAATCTTATAATACTTAAAAATAATTGCTTCAAGACCACTATAAGAAAAAAACCGCTTTGGGTACAGTTAATGCCTTTATTTTTATATCAAACCATAGAGAATTGTTTCCTTCTGTAAATTATTTTTTGGGGTAAAAAATTACAGACTTATAGAATACCTAAAACTTCATTTTGAGAAAAAATAACGATATGAAAAAATACGGAAAATTTTAAGTATAACGAACGGTTACGATTTGTAGGGAGTGAACTAAGTGAAAGTTCGTTATTTTCTTCTTATCAAAATTGTAAGAAACTTTGATTGTCACAATGTTCAGTAGCCTTATCGGTCCCCTATACATTATTACATCTCAAAAAGATCTTTACCTTGAAAAAAAGTGAATAGTCACTTACCAGTGACGATGAATTTGCTTCACCTTTTTCTATTTGGAGATCCTGTCGGTGCAACCAGCGAAATTGTGCTATGTTGACGAGGAAACACGAATCAGTAAAAATGTAGGCATAGCTGTCATTACAAGAATCTTTGGCAGAAGGCAATAGAATTCCTTGCAGTTGAACTAAATTTAATAAATTAAAGCACGGTTTCCTAACTGTGTACCAGTTCAAAATTTCGAGATTTGAACAACCAACGTCATCTTGGCTTTCCAAGACGCATCTGAGTAGTACTTGAAAAAAATATTTTGGTATCTTTTCATATCAAGCTACCAGCTCAAAAACTGTATTCTTTGAGTGATTCATCTTCTTCAAACACCCCATTTCTAGCGTAACCGTGAACCACTTTTCCTAAAAAATTTATTGAAATTGCTTTTCCGTACGCTGCTACCTTTTTCTTTAGAATGTACAGCTTTATTCGTGAGTTGTGTAAAACTGTATCTTCTGGTTTCGCAACACTTTTTTCACCTAATCAACTTCTTTCACGTGCTAGTAGAACAAACACCGTGAAGATTTTTCCACCCACTGCAAAATTCTTTTAAATGGAAGTCTTTCACGGTGTTTTGTCATGTGATTACTCGTGCGTGTTTAGAATAACCAATTCACTTCACTATCTGGCCTAAGTTTTTCAAAGTACAACACCAGATTAGGTCTTTTGGAATGCCACCTTTGTTCAAAAAATTTGAGGCATCATAACCCCAAGAAGAATTTATCAGTTCAGTAAAAATATGCTAAATAACACTCAAAATCCTCTTCCAGCAGCTAAAAGAGCTAAAGAAATATAAAATTGACGAACACTTTAAACTTCCTAAAAATTTTTTGATTTCAGTCTTCCTTTGCAGTTAGCTTCTAGCTCCAGCAGAACTTGTAAAAATTGAAAAATAACAGTAACAAAGTGATTTTGATTATATAAAACGGTCTGGACGCCTCTAAAATTTTAACCGTCCCACTGAGTCAATCTCTCCTCCTCTTCCCATATCATTCTATCCCAATATCAGTGTTGGGAAGTGCGTATATCTACCTATGTATTACCATTATATAATACAGCAGAACGTCAGTGCTTCTAATAACTTACGTTCCACTTAACATCGTTCGGCGAGAAATTTTCCTATTACCATAGTTTTTGACAGAACATTGTTTCACTCTCAGGTTGCCTTTCCACCATTGTTATAGAAGAAAAACCAAATTTAATTTTATAAAATATTCGCAAGCCTGTATCTATAAATATTCAACACGTCTATGTCAAACTTCAGTGACGCCAACTTGACTTACGCTGTAACCTAGACAATGGCAATGGGTCTCCAAAATGTCGCTGGAGAATACCCCGCTAGAAAGCTCTTTCAGATTCTGTATAAAGCAGCGAGTCCGCTACGCGAAAGAAAGAAGGATTCTTCACAGTGTGATATACGAACAGATTTACTCACTGTCTATGATGAAAAACACTTCCCTGCAAAATATATAAACTCAATACTTAAAAAATGAATAAAAACTAAGCATGCACGCAGACCTGATTATATCACTCGCTAACGTTCACTGTAGGCTCCGATCTTTTCGCCCCTGCATCATTTAGGTAGGATAGATAATACGGAAAAAATATTTTGTAACCTCTGTAAACTAAGATGAAATAATTTTTTGCCCAATTATAGTATTGAACTACTCTAAAGTCCTTATAAAACTGTTTACTGATTACCAGCGACTACTTCTATAATCCCAAGTAACGAACTACAATCGCGTCGAATTCGTACAAAATTTTTGGAGAAGTAACTATCAAAAATCTTTCCTCGCTCTGTAGCCTAAATTGCCTGTATAACTTTCATCCAAGTCCGCCGTGAAAAATGAGGCGTAAATATGAAATCAAGAATTCTCTTGGCCGCGCTTGTAAATTTACGAGTGCCTTTTTTTACCACTCTCCATTCCGTATCCTAAAGCACAAAGCGGGAAAGTTCTGTCTAGCATCTGAAGATTCTTTTTGCTTCTGGTGATCATAATCCATTTTTCAAAAGAGTGACTATACGCACCAACCTGCATAACTCAAATTAAGTGGTTATGTACAGCAAGTCGTGCGTTTCACAACAATCCTTGCTAATTATAGTCATCAAGGGGCCTGAGAGAATTTTGAGCAAAAGTTGAAAAGGTTTAGCAAAATCATTATCATCATTTTTCCGCTACATGTCTTCACTTCATCCACGCAGAGATTAAAAAACACACAAAGCAATGCCACACCTTTACTTTTTTTAGAATCTACAGAATTTTAGCATTTTACTTCTGGTGTCTACTTTAGACAGCTGCATCGCTGTGTCTGTGTTTGCTCATTCAACCTTATAACGCTTGACTTCTCTCTCCTTCAGATATAGCAGTTATACGAAACCTGATAATTAGTGCTGAAATAATCATTATTTTTTTATGCTTCAACCAATCTCCCACTTCATCTGTATATTCGGTAGTCTTCGATTCATCAGGGTAACTCGATATGCCTAACATCATGCACGATGCGTACTGCAAGCCGAAGATCAATTCTGAGTATTAAATCTGTAATGACGGTGAGTACAAACCTATCAGTTTAATCTTCAAACCTTGACGTTCTGGTGCCAAGAATTGTAAATAATGCTACTATTACCGCTAACACTTAGAACCAAGCACAACAACAATATCAGTAAAAATAACGATGCAGCGTTGCAGAATGACAAACATCAAACATCCAGACCTTACTTTCTGCCCACCTACACAAACATCCGACCATCAGCTATCCCGTATAAACATTCAACCAACGGGCCAGCATCTTGCAAAAGCATGTAAATGTTACTTTGCTACTCTCTTTATGCTCCCAACTGCTCGGTTTGGCCAACGACGGCGATCGCTGTTGGCGCCATATTTTAGGAGCGACATTTTGCCTGCCGCATCATTTTGCATCGTTTGCGTTTGTTGTCGTCCCAAAAACTGCTGAATTTGGCTGAAATCCATAACTCGCAAAACTTTTGCAGCAGAAGCTGTTGTTGTTGTTGATGTTGATGTTGGTGTTGTAGATGTTGCTGTTGCTGCTGCTGCTGTTGCTGTTGCTGTTGCTGTTGCTGTTACTAGTACTGCTACGTCTGCTGACGCTGCGACCTAAGCTTTCTCCCTGTCTGGAATATATACTAGGTACATAGCTAATGAGCAGCAAATTGCATATTCGCTTGTTTTGTAATTGTTTCTTGTTGTTCATTGAAATTCCCTAGTCACCAGTTACATACGTTGTAATTTTGACAGTTACTTAACAGAAGAAACAAAAAGTTTTCCCAGAAATTATAAAGGATTATTGACAGGAAATAAAGCATTTTCTTAAAAATAGTTGAACAGAGCAGTTAGCATTGGGATTGTACTTGGGTCGCAATTTTGCTTATTGGTTGTATACCTGTACAAATTATTGTAAATTCAAAAAACACCAAGTTTTCCTTTACAGTTTTTTTTTTGCTTTTTTTGCTTTGCTATTATATTGTCTTCTAGAAGTACTTTAGGAGAAAAAACTATACGTTTCCAAGAAACAAACGAAGTTGTTACCATTATTGCAGAGATGATTTGATGCTTATTTTGTTGGTCGCAAGTTGCTGAACGTTTGATGATTATGTTAGCTAAAAGATCACTCGCATAGAGATTTAAAGGGAAGCTTTCTGAAAATAACAACAAACAGTTTTGGTGTACCTTTCTTCAAGTCTTCATATGTTTGTTTTAGTAAATAGTCGAAAAAAGACAAACTTTTCGTCAGGAAATCTGTAATTTCTGGTGGTTCCTTCCGGAAGTGACAAGGATGAGGGTAGGAAGAAAGTCTGCTTTCCGAAACTGGTCCACGTGTTTAAGTTTTTCGGTTTAATAGAGAGTACTTGTAACTCACAAGAAGTATTTCAATGTCAATTGCTGCTTTGTGAGGAATAAGGCTTTAATACTCAAAAGGCTGGAGGATGGGACTCTATTTCTCATGGAACGGTGTAG